TTTACATTTGGACTATTTCTAGATTTATATGTATGTCATTCTTGCACAGAGGCCATGCTAATCTCGAAAGACAAATACGGATACAGGGTACTAATTTTTTTTGGGGGCCCCATTTTCGAAAGTTGGTATCTTGTTCGTAGCATGACCCAGTGTGTTATATTCAAATAGAGTGCCCCCCGTGCGTTCTATTCGTAATTAACAGACATGTGTTTTGTTCGGGGGAAGACTGTAGAATCGACTCACCCCCGCAACGATTCTTCATTGCTGTCCAGGGTTTCTTTTTTGGGGGGATCCATACATAAACAGACAGTGGAGGATGTCTATAGAGAATACCGTCTTCACCTGAATATAATGCCCGATCATTATAGCTGTATTTGGGGCAACTTTCAGTCTAGAATCTAGATAGAGCCATAATGACCGCGCTATATTCGGGTGAAGATGGTAATGTGGACTTGTTTTGGACTTTTCGGCAACTTATGAGGAGACTGAGGACCTGGCTGTCTGTAGAGCCCCTCATCAATGCTTCAAGCCATAAAAAATCTGGTGATCGCAAGTGGTTAGCTGGGACCCCCTCTTTTCAGCCCATAGGTCACTGGTGAAAAGGGCATTTGGGGATAATTTTTTCTGTTTTTTTTCCCCCTAATTTACAAATCTGTTTTGCCAAGCAATAAGGTCCATTGCCAGCAAGAATTGTATCTTTTTTTTTTCCTCACAAGGTTTGTGTGTCAAGTCTGGTTTGTTGGAGCCTTGGATGTGGCTGTTCTTTTTTTTTTTTTTTTTTTTTTTTTTTTTTTTTTTTTTGAGAAATAGCATGGTTTTATTGTAAAGGCAAAAGGAGGCCGGGAATCCCTCCACATCTCAACCCGGAAGGAAGAACCAAGCCTCAAGGAGGCTGTCTGGAAAGCCCTGAAAATCCTTAAAAAGAGTCAGGACTCAGGCGTGAAGTTGCGCATGAAAAAGCATCTTTGCCTTAGGACTGTCGTCTCTTTTTTTGTTTGTTTGTTTGTTTGTTTGTTTGTTTGTTTGTTTGTTTGTACCTTTCTTTTCCACTGTGGTTATTTGGTATCGGCTCCATGACTTGGTGACAAGTTTGGTTTGAAAGGTTTGGGGGGTTCGTTAAAGACCATGGGAAAACTTTGAAAATCTATGGCGCTGTTAACCGCTTCTCCTGGTGATCCAAAATCAACATGGACTACCACCTTCACACACAAGGTGCATATAATAGCAATATAGTACATAGTATGTTTGCTTTATCTAAACCATTGCCTGTACTGCCTTTGTTCTCTGTTTACAATAGCAATATAGGACAGTATGTCTGCTTCGTCTAAACCATTGCTTGTGCTGCCTTTGTTCTCCATTTACTTTACCTGTTTCTTTGATTTCTTTGGACGAATGTATGTAAGAGCAGGCTACGATCCGTACATCTGGACAGCATGCAGGCAGTCCGGAAGTCCGGATCTGGATATGCTGTCCCAACTAAAAGAACATATATTTTCTGATGTTGAGATTTTTTTTCTTTTTTAAGGGGAAAGTGTGGTAGGGGGTGGGGGGTGGGGGGTCCGAGAGGGGGGGCAGGGGGGAGGAATAAATTTTGTGTAGCAATGCAATGCTACAACTTTCGGCTGAGGTTCATGACAAATCCTAACCAATCACTCCTGGCTGTCGCAGAGGGTGTTTTCTTAATTAATAATAATAATAATAATAATAATAATAATAATAATAATAATGTTCATAATAAATCCTACCCAAATCTGAAGAAAAGGTCCGAAAGACTTCAAACTTCAAAGAAGATAGATATGTCCTTCAGGACATCCATTGAAATCGGAGCAATACAGAGAAGATTAGCACGGCCCCTGCAGAGCGGGAGGGAGGGGGGCAGCGAGGGGAAGAAAAGGAAGATAATATAGTTTTTTTAACTTTTTTTTTTTTTTTTTAAGGCAACCCCCTGTGTTTGGACCATATCCAAGATATTGGGATGGCCGCTTGCTGTGTGGGTGGCTTCCTCCTTTGGGGGACCTCTTTCTGTTCCTCGGTGGGCAAGCTGGTCCGTGAACTTGAGGAGTGGTGAAAGCAATTTGTCGTTATCGACCTACCTTCTTTTTCTTTGAATTCCAGATGCCTTGATGCTTTGGCTCTTGTTTTGGGCGTGACATAGATTGCATTTCTGGGTGGATCTTATGCTCTCTATCCTCATGCGAAGGCTGATTTACCGATCAGTCCCTCACCTTGCCTTCGGATATTGGCATGGTAAGAAAAAAAAGGGATGGTATTAAGACCCAGGTGCCAGTTCAGTCCAGACTCCAGAGTGAGTCAAAAAACAAGCCCGCGTAACCAGCAGTAAAAGGAAAAGCGACTCAGGGCATACTCACACTAGCAGTTTTTCACTTATTTCCGGACGGAATTTGGGCCAGGTGCATACAGGTCCGACCGAAAATGCGGTCAGATGCATTTATGACAGATCTAGTGTGAGTACGCCCTCACTCAAGAGAAGATTGCTCTACGGGACATCGACCAGACACTCAAGTTCTGGGAACCCCCAGAGGGCATACTCGCACGAGGGCTTCTTTGCTACTAAGCTCTCAACATGATTACAGTCATATGCATCCAGGTCTGTCCCTAAGTACAGTCTGATGCATTTAGGAAAGTGCTTGTGTGAGTATGGCCTGAGTGTACCATTCAGCTTTTCCAACTGTTACAAAAAAAGAAACAAGCACACATGTATGATAAATTTTCAAATTTTCACATTTCTGTACAGAACAGGGTTTCATCTTTGAGCTTGCAACTAATTGTGTATCTAATTTACTTTGTGCGCTTTATACCATCACAAGCTGACAGCAAACTGGATTGCATTGGATGTTTGAATTGATTTCTGTATTTGTTAGCAGAGCACAGTTGTGGAAGGATCGTCTAAGGCTGCAGAAGAGCTGGCTTCATTACGTGCAAAAGCAGCAGAGCTTGAAGGAAAGCTGGGCGCGTCAGAGTCGCGGCTTGCAAGGATGGCAGCGGAGAGTGCAAATGCGCGTGGAGGTGATGGAGCATCATCGAACAGGTCAAGAGGATTTAGCAGCGGAAGAAGTCAGACAACAAATGCACTGGAGAGTCTGGGTCTTGATGCTGTGAGAGAGGAGCGATTGCTATGGAAAAGCAGCAAAGGCCAGGCTGGCGATCTTGAGGTATGTCAGGTGTCATTTCGTTTTTGTTCTTCTTCTTTTTTTAACCCGCCCTGACAAAGTATGTATCATTTTGTTTTCATTAGGGGAAAACAGAAAGAGAAAAAAAAAAAAAGAATTTCTGTGTAACCGAGGCTGTGCCGGGCCCAAAAGTGGGTCAAAAAAAAAAAAAAAAAAAAAAAAAGTGGGTCAATTTTTTTATTTTTATTTTTTTTGAAAACATGGTTGGGCTGCGCTCGCCGAGATCTCCCC